TGCAACGTAGATCAGTTTATTGGATTCCTGGAGGCAACCTACGGCGACCCAAACAAGGAACTGACAGCCTTGAGCAAGCTGGGTAACCTTAAGCAAGGAAAACGAAGCTTTACTGCCCACTTCGCCGAGTTCCGACGACTAGCCGCCGATACAGGTCTGAATGAGATAGGACTTATTGCCTCCCTACGCAACTCCCTGCCCCTTGAATTACAGCACGCTATGGTGGGCGAGTCTCTACCAAATGATCTTAACACTTATGCCAATCTGATCGCAACCTATGATAATAATATAAGGCACCTTCCCGCCTCCGTATCCAGTCCGTATCATCACCAAACAACAACAACTATTTGCCAAGACCCTGACGCGATGGAGATCGACTTGAATTACGCTCCTGCTGGGTCTCAAGAAAGAGAAGACTGACAAAAGAAAGGGCTTTGCTTTAAATGTGGGAAACACGGTCATATATCTCGAGACTACTCCGTTCCCCTCCCGCAGGTTAGAGCCAGCAATGAACCAACCCTTTCATATCCCGTATTGCCCCCGAATTGCAATTGAAGTGGATCCGAACCCTCCGCGTACTCTCGTAGCTCTTCCTAACGCTCCCGTAGGAGCTGTTCAAGAAACAGGAAGAACGCACAAAAAGGGTCGTCCCAGGGATAAGTCGCCCTCTGGGACCTATTCAACACCAGATCTCTACCAACCTATGGACAGCCTCTCCAACTGATGACTAGGAATACCAAGTAAACGTACCCTCCTTGTTGAAGCAAGGAGGGGTTACGGATACGGTACGGGCCCTTATCAATTCCGGCGCCAATGGCATGGGATATATAAACAGAGATCTGGTGCACAAACTGAGCCTCCCACTGATACCCCTTTCCCGCACAATATACCCAACTGGATTTAATGGAAAACAACTTGAAGGAGGTTCCATTTCATATTTGACCTCTGTTACAATTACCTATCAACACCACAAGGAGCAACTGAAGCTCTACGTAACAAATACTGGACAACACGATCTGATACTAGGCCAACCTTGGCTGTATTGGCACAGAGTCGCCTTTGATTACCAGAACCAAGTTCTGAAGTTCAACTCATCCCAATGCCAGGCCGTCTGCCTGCGCCAATACCTACACAACACCCAAAACCAATCTGAACGGAGTATAAGACTCCATGGAAAGGCATCCTCAACCTTTCGTACCGAATCCCCTCTGAACCACAACTGAACCTTAGACATCTGCCATATTGGCTCAGCTCCGCTCATGATGCTGGCTTGACGACCCGATCACGAGATCTTTGCTATCTCCATTGCAGACATTGACAAGGCCCTGGCAACTAAGGTACACACCGACCCAAAGACAAAGGTCCCTCCTGAGTATCACGACCTATTACACGTCTTGTCCCGATCCGCAGCCGATAAGTTACCGGTACGGCGCCTTTACGACCACCAGATAAAACTCAAGCCAGGGAAACAACCTGGCTATGGACGCCTCTACAGGATGTCTGTCAACAAACTGAAGGTTCTGCGGAAGTACCTCAAGGAGAACCTAAGCAAAGGCTTTATCCGAGCAAGCTCCTCCCCAGTTGTGTCACCCGTTATCTTTGTTAAAAAGCCAGGAGGAGGCCTCCGATTCTGCGTTGACTACCGAGGGTTGAACACCCTAACGGTTAAGAATCGCTATCCGATCCCCCTACTTCAGGAAACCCTAAGTCGACTAAGTAAGGCTAGGTTCTATACAAAACTGGACATCATCGCCGCATTCAACAAACTTCAAATAGCCAAGGGCGACGAATGGCTTACTGCGTTTTGGACCCGATACGGACTCTTCGAGTACCTGGTTATGCCGTTCAGGCTAGCCAATGCCCCAAGCACGTTTCAACACTACGTAAACGACACGCTTTGACCATACCTTGACCTCTTCTGCACGGCCTATATTGACAACATCTTGATATATAGCAAAACGTTATCGGAACATAAACAGTACATACGTCTAGTGCTTAAGGCAATGGAGGAGGCCGGCCTACAACTCGACGTTGATAAATGCAAATTCCACAAGAGCGAAGTAACGTACCTTGGATACGTGATCTCTACGGATGGGATTTGGATGGATCCAGGCAAGATTAAGACAATCCTAGAATGGGAGTACCCGAAGAACGTAAAGGACGTACGCGCCTTTATTGGATTTGCAAACTTCTATTGACGATTTATTGACGACTTCTCCGCATTGGTGGGCCCACTGATAGCGCTCACTAGGAAAGATATACGATTTGACTTCAATACGGACTGCCGAAAGGCCTTTGATCAACTCAAGAAGGCCTTCACGGAAGCACCCATACTCCGACACTTCGACCCTGACCTTCCGATTCTGGTAGAAGCAGACGCCTCCGACTACGTAGTAGCGGGCGTACTATCCCAGACCGATGAGGGCGGTGTAACTCGCCCGATTGCTTACTTCTCTAAACAAATGAACCCTGCTGAGGGTAATTATGAGATATACGATAAAGAGTTGCTCGCAATAGTACGTTGCTTTGAACAATGGAGACCTGAACTGGAAAGAGCAGCGCATCCGATTCAGGTCCTTACTGACCACAAGAACCTGCAGTACTTTACAACCACTAAGCAACTCAGCCACCGACAGGCACGTTGGTCCGAATACCTGTCCCGATTCAACTTTACGATAACGTACC